CATTTTGAATCAAAATTGTAAGTGTGCCCTTCACCTAGAATGTGTGCATTGTACAACTTAGGTGTGGGTTAACCCAACCCCTGCAAACTCCCCCCAACCTACTTGATTCCTATTGAGTTTTACTTCCATACATGCACATAAGTGTTGATTTATTAGTTCCTAGTTCCAATTTAGCATGGAGTACATGTGGTGTTTATTTTCCCCTGCTTCAGACACTTCACTTAGAAAAATGGTCTCTAGTTCCATTCAGGTTGTTACAAAAGATACCAGATCACCCTGTTCTATGAGGTCTGAGTAGTACTCCATGATATACACACATCCCATTTTATTAACCCATTTCATGATCAAGTGGGCTTCATCCCAGAGATGCAAGGATGGTTTGACATATGCAAATCTCTAAATGTAATCCACCACACAAACAGATGCAAAAACAAAAACCATATGATCCTTTAATAGACATGGAAAACTCATTTGATAAAATTCAGTACTCTTTTATGGTAAGAATGCTTAACAAAACAGGCCTGGGTGGGAGTTACCTCAAAATTATAAAGGCCATATACAACAAACCTATGGCCAAAATCATATTTAATGGGGAAAGACTGAAAGCATTCCAAAGACATATTCTTCTAGAATTCTTATACTTTTGTGTATAAACTTAAGTCTGTTATCCACTGTAGGACATTGATCTAGAGTCTTTTTCCTTTTCATATATTCACAAGAATTTCCCTATAAGCACTCATTAGATTGGGCGTACAAACTACAGCTGGCAGGGAGCATGCTAATTTTGTGAGGACATTTTTTGCTTATCTGTTGTGTTAGATATCATGAAAAGTATGCACAGACTTTTTTTTGCTAATCAGCTTTAGTTAGTGCATGTCATGTGTGGGTCAAGAGAACTCTTATTCTTCCAAAGTAGGGCAGGAAACAAACAAAAAAAGGCTGGACACCCCTGGATTAGATGTATCTTACAAGTCTTAATATGTCATACCTTCATTACCATTCAGTTCAAAATATTTTTAGATTTGTTCCGATTTATAATTTGTACCATGAAATATTTTTAAGTTTATTTTAAATTTCTAGTTAGTTGGGTTTTTTCAAATTTTATCCTCCTAATTTCCAAACATTTGGAAATTTGTTTAGCTATCTTGGACTATCATGTTAGTCCAAGTTTATGGGGGCAATGCCATGAAGAAAATGGCAGAGTATAAATGGATTGAACATATTTCTGAGGGGAGAAAAAGTGTCACTAATGAAGGGAGGTCAGGGGCCAGTAATAAGCAGAACTAACAAAAATGTTGCAAAAATTCATGGAATTGTACATCAAAATCATCAGCGGACTGTGAGAAGCATAGAAGATTATGTAAACATCAGTAGAGAAACAAGAAAAGCTTAACTGAAAATCTTGCATTGAGAAAGGTGTGTGGCCCTTGCGTTTCAACAATGCATCAGCTCACATGGCACTGTCTCTAAGGGACTTTTTAAGACAGTTGGAAATACCCTCCCTATCCACCTGATCTGGGCTCCAATGACTTTTTCTTTACCTAAAGATAAAAGAAATATCAAAAGGAAGACATTTTGATGACATAGGATATCAAGGGTATAGTATGACGACAGTTCTGATGGCCATTCCAGAAAGAAAGTTCCAAAATTGCTTTGTAGGGCAGACTAGGCACTGGCATACAGTGCATAGCTTCCCAAGGGGAGTACTTTGAAGGTGACCATAGTGATATTCAGCAATAGTTTGCAAACTTTACTGTCAGAACTTGTATATGGGAAAATGAGTGGAATTTGGGCAAGAATACGGGAAACAGCATTCCAAGACGAAAAACAGAAAGAAAGAATGAGCTTGGCTTTGAAGGAAGCCAAGTGCAACTTGGTGTGGGGGGTGGTGAGTCATAAGGGAGAAGGTGAGAGGCTGGGCAGGCTTAGATCACCCAGGTCTTGAGGGCTTTGAATTTTATTCTCAGTGCAAACCCAAATTTCAACAGAGTTCATTCTTTATCACTGTCATCTAGTCCTCTGCTCACATTTAACCAGGATGCTTGGTCTTCAGCTTTACCCAAATTCCTGGCTCGTCCCAGAGTGCTTCACCATCCACAGCTCCTCAATTACTAAACATCCGGGACCCCGGGGACTCCATCTCCACCTCTAGAAGGCTGCTCTTCACCTTTTCTTGTCTACAACTACTCCATCTCTGAAACCAAATTCTAGTATTTCATTCTTGGACTAAAATCTCTCACTAATCCCACTCTCCCACTACCTAACATCTATCATGCCTGTCCTCCTTTAGAATTTTGTATTTATCTGATTAGAAAAAAAAATCAAAAGTAATAAAATCTCATTAGAATAGGTGAAACAAAATAAAAGCACACACCAGAAAAGTTGTTACTATTTTCCCCACCCCTACCAGGGCAGGTAGGTTTCCATACCTTTGTCCATGTGTATAACAATGTATGTGAACTCAAATATAAAAACTTTTTAATAACCAAAAATACTAAACATAATTTTATGGCTTTTTCTTAGCTAAAAGTCATGAATAAATGGCAAGCCAACAGAGATAGATCAAATTCACTCTGTAAACTGCTGCTCATTTTCCCAACCACAGACCCTCCAGTGGCTCACCTCCAAAGAGAACTTTACTTGCTGTTTGCTGCAAAGGATCTGTTGGCCTCAGAAAACCTTGATGAGGGCTCTCTAGTGAAGGGCTTCCAATCTTCGTAGTTGGCAAAGAGCTGCTGCTTCCAACTGAAAAAATGTGGGAGCAAAAATAGTTCCTCAAAGAAACTCATCAGATGGTCACAGGTCTCCTAGGCCCATGAGAACTGAGGCCATCACTTCTTTCACCACTTGGTTTGCTACTGCCTTGGAGATGTGGACAACAGGCTGCTGGCAGATGCTGAGGAAACTACAGCTGCGAGTAGGCAAGGAAAATTAAAAATCACTCATGGGGACATGGAAAGAAAGATGGCCAGCAGAACAAAAATAAGAGATGTCTACTGAAGTAGAACCAATGGAAGAGACAGAAGAGAATTTTAATGAAAATAGAAGGAAAATAGAGAACTTAAGAATAGTTTTAAGCATCAAAGAAGCATGACTTCTTAATTAAAAATTCAATGCCCAATAGAAAAAAGTCAGTGACTAACCCTGAAAATCACAATAGTCACAATGATCAGAAAAATCAGTACAAGGAATACCTCACAAGAAACCCAGTGACAGATAACCCTGGAGGAAAGGCCAAGTTGCGTGGAGGTCAGAGCCAGGAGACCAAATAAGAAGCACAGGAAAAAAATCCAGGGCTACAAAAGTTAAGTATGGTTTTTAGCATCTCAAATAACTATGATTTTTTTAAAAGCCAGCACTATTTTTGTTAGCAATTGTTGGATAAAAACTGTGGTCAATTTCTGACATTCTATATTCTGCTATTAAAATACTACAAAACAGTTGAAAGTCTTACCAGGAAGTTAAGACCTTGTGGATGATACGATGGTCTTAGGAATGAGGGACTCCTGGAGGGGGGGTTCCTATTTCTGATCAGAAAAGAGAATGAAACATTTAAGAAAGAGAGAGCTCTGCCCATAGACTCAGACTGCGTAGTACACAACCTGCCTCTGTGAGCAATCTTTTAAGACTTGAGTATTAATTTGAGGCTCAGGGCCCATAGCACAGTGGTCACAGTGCCAGACACATACATGGAGGCTGGCAGGTTCTAACCCAACCCAGGCCAGCTAAACAACAATGACAACTGCAACAAAAAATAGCCATGGGCTGTGGCAGGTGCTTGTAGCCCAGGTGCTCGGGGGGCTGAGGCAAGAGAATCACTTGAGCCCAAGAGTTAGAGGTTGCTGTGAGCTGTGATGCCACAGCTCTTTACTGAGGGCAACATAGTGAGACTCTGTCTCACAAAAAAAACAAAAAAAAACAAAAACAAAACTTGAGTATAAATTTGAATAAGCAGCTTTCAAGTCATTGTCCAAGAGGAATCATGATACCTGATCCTTGGTAAAATATCCATCCCGTTTTAGAGAACCCTGCCTTGGCACACAATAATGGGAGATTACAGGTAGCAAGGCAGCAAGTTCTTTATCAACTTGGACAACTTCATCCCAATAATAAAGACCTTACCCTAAAGCTTCTTTGTATTAAAAGTGCTTATTTTGATCATCCCATGTGAGTTGGCCATGGAAGGAGTGGGACAAGTTGTTCTGCTTTAATCTTTTAGTTAACACAGGGGCTTTAGAATATATCTACAATATTATCAGATGATCACTAACATAAAATGAACAAAAGAGAACACAAATTCAAAGGGCAGCCTGGAGCTCAAGGAGTAGGGCGCTGGCCCCATATAGCAAGGGTGGTAGGTTCAAACCCGGCCCTGGCCCAAAAAAAAAAACAAACCTGCAAAGGGCAGCCCGAATGTCTATTCTTTAAAAAGAAACAATGCAAGACAACATGTTTTCATCTGTCACTGTCAGTTGGCATTTAATAGCTATGACTTAAAATTTTACATTTAAAACCTAATAGAAATTATAATGACAATTCAGCATATATTTGAAGTAGTATTAAATACACAGAGACCTTAGGTATTTTTAGAAAGATATGTTATTATAATATAACCATTATTAACAATATAAAACAATTATATACATTACTTAAAATCATGTATTTGGCTCATAATTGACCTATATTTATTATAAATCCATTTGAATGTTGGCTACAGACATCACAAAGAATCAATCTGACCTCTGTATAAGAAACATATTCTAAAACCCAATATAATTTAAAAAGAAATTAAACTAGAGCTAAATGAGAATTATCTAGCAAAAAAGATTAACAGTTATCTTGTATAAAGTTTCAGTAAGATAATAAATTATATAAAATTTCCTTATATAAAAATTCCAATATTACTACCTATAAATCATAAAATATAACAATAGTGCATTTATTTATTCTTTACTTAATCACATTTTAGACTGATGATAAAGTCTACTGTTTATAGAAAATAAATTTGAGGATTTATCCAAACATTGTTACATAAGAAGTTTTAAGAAACTGTAAATAATTCTTAATACTCTCATTTTGATTTTCCGACTTCTCAAGACTATGTTGTATTTCTTTCAAACACACTTCCTGATGTTGTGCTTTCTAAAGGAAAAAAAAGAGAGAGAAATATAGATAATACTGGCATTCAAATCAAAGAATAAGAGTCATATCTAAAACACACAGCTATACAATAACAAAATAGATGATTTTTAATTTTTAAAAGAAAGAATCCTCATATCCATTACCTTAGTGTTTACTCTTCTTTAAATTAGAACACATACACAGTAGAGCTCTACTGTCACATAGTTTATTGTAATACACATTCACTTAGCCCCAAATTATTACACAATTAACATGATTGATAAATAGGTTTTATTTAAAATTGTCATAATTTTCACTGTATTTAGTATAGTATATTTTCATACTAGTTTCTGCTATTTTCTCTGACTAAAAATTCATATTTTATACTATAAGAATGATCCTTGCTTTTCTAAAAGTGATAGAATTCTAGTTTTGATAATGTGAACATTTTATTAGAATCCTTTAATAATAAAAAGAACTCTTAATATTACAGATGTTCTTTGAGGAAAAAATACAAAACCCTAACTTCAGTTGCATATAAATTCCTAGACAGATCTGTTCCCTGAAAACACTTCAGATCAAACAGTCTGCAAATGCCATCCAGCTTTCACTAAAATGTGAAAGCTGCCCTTTGAGAAGAAAGATCTTTTATGTCTCGCATCAGGTGTTCAATGATAACTGGTATCTTCTGAAACTGAGCAATGCCCACCAGGTAACACGGGTTGGTCCAAGCCAATGTGCCAGACAGGGGTACACAGAGTCCCAGAATGAAAAAACCCAGATCTAAGGAGCATCAGTTTTACTCAACAATTTGAAGGGTAGGGTAGAATGTAAAATGTGAATGCATTTTAGAATAATACATTAGGCTTCAAAGATATTTTAGGCTTCAGGAGGGTGGCCTTGGGTTAAGCTGCTGAGATCATGTGTATCCATTCCATCCCCAATTAGAGTAGCTGGGCAGAAAATACAAAAAGGTCTGCCCCAAATACAGTCAAGTATGAGACACACTCTCTGGGTGCTTACAGTTCAACAGGGGCTAAAGCAGGCATCTGTTAATAAAACAAATACCGAACAGCCCCCTGAACTATCCTTTGGAAGGGACAGAATACAGAAACTCAATTTTCAGCAATGTCTAAATAATGTATACTTAGAATTCTAGATACTTACTAGTGTAAAATTTATCAGGTTTAACAAAACATCAGATCTTGAACCCATTGTAGTAGCTTTAGCCAAATACTAGGCTTAACAAACAAGCTCATCCTAGCTTATTTATTTTTCAGAGATTTCAATCATCACACATACTTTACTATATCAGAAACTCTGATAGTACGTAAAAATAAATTAGAAATAAAGGAACAGTCCATGCTAAATTAAAAGTGATAAATGTTTTGTTCTGATTAAGTTGTCATGAAGCTTTCGACAGCAGTAAGATTAACTGAGCACTTCTCCCTAATCATCTAACTTCTCTTTTCAACTTTTTAGACACTTAGGAATGAAAAGTAGTTTTCATGGAGTCTTTGGCTTCGGAAAAAATAGGTATCATTATTTACTATGTCACTGTTAAGTAGATAGTTATTAGGTAATTTAATTATGACTAATGCTTATTTTCAGAGAATCTTATGTCTACTGACAATTTCATGAATATTCAGGAAGAAAACATTAGAAGACTAATTAAACACAGCCAACTGGGTATTCTTACTTCATGGCTGAGCATCTATCTCGTATGCAGATATAACAATGTTGAATATTTATGTAACTGCAAATTATAATTTTCTGAAATGTAATATTCATTATACAATTCAAATATAAAAATCTAACTCATAATAGTTCAAATTGTGTATTATTTTTAAAAAATAAAAAAAAGTCATACCAAGAAGACATTAAGCATATTATGTCTATAACTTTCATTAAGCAGCTTTCATGTAAAAGTAATATTCAGGGAAAGGGCCTGATGAGATTTGGGAGAAATGCAACATGTTACCCAGGAGGCAGGATAACACATTCTTCGGCATATCCTGACATTTTTATTTTTTATGTATTATATTATTTTTAATGTTAGTTATTTTGAATATCATCAATAAAGCAACAGCCTTGATTTCCCTTGTTTTATACTTTAACTAAACTACACAGCAAGCATGTTAAATGCTAATTTATGTCTTATGATAATACATTAAGCCATACTAATACTTACGCTGTTCATTTTGCAAACAAGCTGATTTTGCTCTTCATTTTTCTTTCTAAGCTCAGATTCCAGATCTAATATTTTAATTTGTAAGGCCCTCTCTCTAGATGACATTTTCTCTATTTCTTCAGAAACCTGCAATTTTTATTAAAAGAGTAAAAAAGCTAAATGTGGTTTCTTTCAAATATGATGGAAAGCCTTGACATGGTTATATTGTACCTCTTTTTTTCCAAAAAGACCAATTAGAAAATGTTTAAAAATGTTCTATCTTTAAGAAACATATCTAAGTATGTACTGTACTTATGTTTGCAGTATAAACATCTGCAAATTAGCTTGAGACAGAAGAGGTGTAAACATTTCACTGCTCAGTTACTTATTAGGGAGGTGTTTTCCCCAATAGTATAATTTTAAAACATACTGAGACCAATTGCCATTTTTCATAGTATTTACATTCACCGTGGTATCTAGAGCAGTGGTAGAACACGGAAAGTTCTCATTAAATGCCAATTACACATTTGGATGGGTAGAATTAGGGGGTGATGTACACACTTCACACATACACACACAGAGACTGGTTTTTCATTCATTCACTTTCCAAGTGGTCTGAATATGAGTTTTCATATTTCTGATTACTTATTTTGGCAGAAAGTCTAGATTTAGCTATGTTTATCCCACTGGTAAGAATGTTGAGTTGGGGCTACAAGAATGAGAGTGGACGTAGGGACTGGTCCTGGAGCAAGGAGCTAGTGGGAAGGACTGTCCCCTAACTTAATGCCTATGGACTCAGTTCTAAGTTATTTACAAAAAATTCTTCTACACAAATTCTAAGGGCAATTATGAGAGAGGAATGCTCATAGGATCTATGAAAAGAGAAGCTATGGAAGGAAAGGCCCTCAGGACAAACATCCATGCCTTGACACCATCCCTCCACGTGGGCAGCAGTACAGGGCAATAACGGCACTCCTCATGTGGGCAGAAACAGCCCCATATTCCACTGCAGCAAGAGAGAAAGGAGAGGGCAGACATCCTCTGGGGACTCTGAACTCTTTCTTTTGGGAAGGAGTCTGAGAACATGTGCCATTTCCAAAGTCCATTTAGGGTGAACCTAAGGTAAAGTCACTGCATATTTTCCTTCTATGGTTGGTAGGACTGAGAAATCTGTATTATATTTCAACTACCAGCAGTATATTTTATTATTTAGCTTTCCTTCAGTTAAATGTCTCTCAAGATCAATTCAAATTGGTTTCCCAGAGTTTAAAATAATTCAAATATATATGACACTCATTGTATAAGAGCCACATTTTAAAGATTATCAGATTTTTTTCTGACTTTTATGGAACTGTCATCAATGGGCTTGAGGAAGACTACAGGTAGACGAGAGTTCAGATGAAATGATTCCTAATTTGGCTTTGAACATGTTAAGTTTGAGATGCTTGTATTACAAGGAGAGGCCAAGTAAACAGTAGAATATGTGAGTTTGGATTTCAGTGAGGAGAGAGGTCTAGGTGAAGAAATACATCTAAGAGTCAAAAATGATTACTTTTTAGCACTACTCGGTCCTTATATGAGGAAACTCATCACCCTCATTTTATTGATTGAGAAACTAAAGTTTGGCCAGGAATGGTGACTCACCCCTATAATCCTAGTGCTCTGAGAAGCTCAGACAGGAGGATCTCTTGGGCTCAGAAGTTCAAGACCAGACTGATCAAGGGTGAGATTCAGTCTCTACTAAAAATAGAAAATTAGGGGCAGCACCTGTGGCTGAAAGGAGTAGGGTGCCGGGTCCATATACCGGAAGTGTCAGGTTCAAACCCAGCCCCGGCCAAAAAACTGCAAATAAATAAATAAATAAAATAAAAATAGAAAATTAGCTGGGCATGGTGGTGCGCACCTGTAGTCCCAAGTACCTGGGAGGGTGAGGCAGAAAGACTGCTTGAGCCCAGGAGTTTGAGGTTGCAGTGAGCTAGGGTGACCTCAAAGCACTCTAGTCTGGGCAATGGAGTGAGGCCCTGTCTCAAAAAAACCCCAAAGAAACTAAAGTTAAGGGAAGTAGCTTGCCCTGATCAGGTATGGTATAATTTATCAGAGCCAGAATTTAAATTCAATTCTTGTTGAACTCCAAAGCCCACCTTACGTCTCTTCAAGGTTAGATTTTCAAATTGACAAATTTACCTCTTGAGATGTTCTAACTCTTGCACATCTCCTCCCCTCACCTCCACCGTGAACCTCCGTCTATTATGGGGTGTACATGCAGGAAGACATTTGTTGTTCACGTGTTCCTCCCTACTACACCAAGTGTCCTGAATGCTAATCTAATGTATTTAACCGGAATTTAATCTTGTATATACATATTTAAGTAACCATATCTGTCAAAAGAAACGATGGTCAGGTGTGTTGGCTCAGGCCTGTAATCCTAGCACTCTGGGAGGCCAAGGCAAGAGGAGTGCTTGAGCTCAGAAGCTTGAGACCAGCCTGAGCAAGAGTAAGATTCCCTTGCCACCAAAAAACAGAAAAATTAGCTTGGTGTTATGGCAAGGCCTGAAGTTCCAGCTGCTGGGGAGGCTGAGGCAGGAGAATCACCTGAACCCAGGCTGAGATTTCTGTGAGCTAGGCTAATGCCAAGACACTCAAGCCTGGGGCAACAGAGTAAGACTCTACATAAGTAAACAAAACTTGAACTTTATAGTTCACCACATCCTGACTCAAACCAAAATTTTCAATTATTTGCATTTTTTAAAAAGTAGGGGAAGAAGAGGGTTATGCCTTCTAAGTGTTCTCCATCTCTGCCCTTTGTCCTACCACATCACCACTTATCTAGTGAAGTAACTCTGGCTTAGCAGATATACACGTTTTGCTTAAAAGGGAAAATAGGTAAAGAACAAAAATGTAATTGCTCTCTCCATCCTGTCACTGAGATAAAAACAATAACTGTAGGTTTGGCAAGATGAGATACTGTCTGCTTAAAAAGACAACGCTTTGGTAAACTCATTAAAAATGTCTGAATAAAGGCCATCCCTACCTTTTGTCTCCCTTCTTCTAAAGCAGCTTCTAGTTGAGTGGACAATGCTGTATATTCTTCAGATTTCTCTTTAAACTTAAGATTGCTGTGCTTGAGACATTCTTCTTGGTTTACCAGCTTCTTTTCAAGCTCTTTATTTTCTGCATCCATCTGTTCTAATTTCCTTTTTACAGAAAACATGTATTTTAAAATTACAGTGTATAGAAGAAAACGTAGCATCAGATTTGAGTCAATTTAATACTTACTGTTTAAGATTTTCACACTTCAACTGAATAAGATAATTTTCCTTTTCCAGAGAAAGCTTCATCAGAAGATTGTGATCTTTATCAACCTAAGAAAAAAATAGTTTTCTTATTTCTTATAATCACTTTCCAAAGAAATCTACATGATGTATTGTTAGAACAGTCTTAAAAAATGAGAAGGTCTAAATGTTATTACTCTCATATAGAAAAACATCAAGAAATATATTTCACTGTCAAAATACAAGTTTTTAAAGTCCTGGTTAGTTTTAGAAAAACTACATTGCCTATGCCAGAAAATCATCAACTGAAAATTCTGTTGGACAATGGATGATACTGATATATTTGAATGATATTCTATTAAAGAAGGGTATTTACTTTGCTAAGTCAAAATATAAAAATTTTAAACAGTATTAATCATGGAATTCTTAGGGTTTCTCTTCAAAGTTTTTATTTCACCTAAAAATATTGATTGATAATTGAGTATCTGTTAAGTTGTAAGTTAAAAAAAAAAACTTTTGTGAGAAGCAATATACAAATATAAAACAGACAAATCAACTAAAAACGCATTTGCCCCAGCCAAATCAGAATATTCTTCTCATTGCTGTAAAGCTCATTTAAACAGCTTAAGAAGCTTTGATAACAGAAAGAATATCTTCTCATCATTTCAATTAGTAATTTAGGTTAATCCACATAATTTGACATTTTCCTAGAAAATGTCAGGAATTTAAATTTACAAAAATTTTGGCAGCATGTTTTTAAAAAGAGGACGTATTTCAAAATTAAAATCCAGATTATATTTGGAAGACAGAGAATCCTTCCTAAAACTGTCTTGCAGTTAAAGAAAAAGTCCACCACCTTTGGACTGCTTATTTTTATTTTTATATTTTATTTTTTCAAGGACTAACTAATTATTCTTTTTTATATATATTTCAGATTGACATTAGGGTACAAATGATTAGGTTACATTGTTTGTGTTAGTTAGGTAAACTCCAAGTTGTAGTTTGGACTGCTTCTTTGGAAAAAGTTCATTAATTCAAAAAATTGTTATTGAGCACTTACTGTGTACTAGGCATTGGGCTAGGGGATGGCTACGTGGTTATTAACAAGACACTCATGATCCCTATTCTCATGGAGGAAAAAAAGTATAAATTGAAAAGTAAAACCTTAAAATAATCCCAATAAACTTGATGTACAATTTGAATTAAAATGAACTTTAATTTTTGTAAGTAAATTACAATAATTTACCTAACCCTGACATTAAGAAACATCTATGAAAGCAGTGTTATTCCTTCCCTCGTGCTCTTACTGTGTCCTCAAATATCTAAATATATATTTGCATGAATAAACTTAATTAGCAATTTTAATACCAATTTTTCACCATAAAATACTAAAAGAATAGCTTGCAAAATAGTATCATATTATCTGCATGAAAATGATGTTTTATCAACCAACACAGACAAGAAAAAACAATCAAACTCTGACATGAGTGCCCTCAACTGGTGAAATCATTCCAAAGCATGCCTTTATACATCTAGTAAAACTCAGAAGGCCCGCAGGACACCTGGCCCTGCAGCTCCCTAATGGTGCGTTCCTGGTCTGCACACTTCCCCTTGCAGCGCTGCAAATTCTCCTGACACTCCTGAAGCCTCCGTTCGGCTGTCGTCAAGGAATCGCGGACAAGCTCTAACTTCTGCAGACCAGACTCCATCTGGCCTCTCATCTGAGTTGTGGCATTAGGGGAAATAAGTGTAAGATCACACATTCAGCATTAATATTTTTACTATCTTAAATACTAGGTATGCTTGCAACATAATAAGTATTTTTGGTATAATAAAGACTTAGCCAAATAAATACAATATTTATTTTTATTTTTTATTCTTATTTATTTATTTTTCAGACAGTCTCACTGTTGCCCAGGCTAGAGTTCTATGGCATCAGCCTACCTCACAGCAACCTCAAACTCCGGGGTTCAAGCAACCCTCCTGCATCAGCCTCCTGAGCAGCAGGAACTACAGGCACCCACTACAATGCCTGGTTCATTTTTCTATTTTTAGTAGAGATAGGGTCTCACTTTTGCTCAGGCTGGTCTCAAATTCCTGAGCTCAAGCAATCCACCCACCTCAGCCACCCAGAATGCTAGGATTCCATGTTTGAGCCATTGAATCCAACTTAATATGAATAAATATTAAACACAGCTAAGTAAGAACATATAACTAAAAACTAGGATCGACTTCAGTTTTCAAATAGTTTGTTGCACACACAAATAGGGTAATATTAGCAGGCAGAGACAATTTTTAACCTATTTAGGAGAGCAAACTTTTTGAATCTTGTCATTACATTCAAGCATAGTATTAATAAACATGGTACAGTGATTTCCTACTATCCGACTATCAGTTCCACAGGAACTGCTTCAGCTGTTCAGTCTTATAACTCAGACCCTTAATTAGAACAGCCTTCCATCACTCATGTTAGCACAGACTGGTGGGATTTACTGTGTAGTACTTCAAATAACTAGTATCATCAGTTCTCACTATACCACAATTTGACCACTCATGTTACTATGAACAAAACTCTTTGATTTAATCTATTTTAATCTCTTTTGGTGGTTGCAGTTCTCACTGTAGCACCTCTGTGAATATGTGACCAGAAGCAACCTAAAGAAATGCTTTTACACTGCTAATTAAGAAAAAATAGTAAGACATGGCCTTTCAGGTCCCAAGGAAGGAAAACAAGAGCCTGGCTCTCCTTGGGACAGAACACCTGTGTTTCTATATCACATTTGGCGTTTTTGATCACAAAAGATAATACCAGAACAAAAGATACCTTTGGGTCCCCAAAACATTTATGAGCTCATGAGAAAAACAGGAGGCTTAAAACTGTAGAAAAAGAAAAATTTCATTTAAAAAAAAATTACTTTTCTGGTTAAATACCAGTAAGTACACATTAACCTCACAGAATAAAAACACCGCAGGCTCTTGTCCACTCTGCCTTTTGACCAGGTTTTAAAAATAGGCTTTGATTTACAGTGACGCTTAGAAGAGAAGACATTTACATTGGTGTGTCTTGTGAGAAAAAGAGACCAAAAAGATATAAAATCGTTTTTTCTTTGGCCTGTTAAAAAGAGGTGAAAAACAATTCTATGACAAGTGGCAAGCTGTGCATTCAGTGGGCTCCGTTTATGTCTGTGAACTGAAGGACGCCTGATCTGGCTGGCCTCTTCCTCACGTGGTACCTCACTCTGCCTTCCCAGTCCCAAGATTCAAAAGCGAGCCAGAAAGAGCAAGCTTGTTATGCTGGGTTGAAACTGACCACTAACACCCCATGACCTTTCCAGCCAGAAGGCATCCTACAACTTTCACTGCTTCCTCACCAAAACAACATGAAAACCCAAAAAGGGAGGTGATTTCATTTAGAAACTTAAAAATATTCACAAAAACACCATATTGTCAACGCTGGCCTTCCTCTTGTTCTGTTTCAACAGGATGAATAAAAGGAAATGATGGGTTTTTTAAAAAAAGATAATTTTTCTTCCAGAAAATGCATTTAGCAGAGAATACTGACTGCTTTCTTAGACATGAAAGATTTACAACCAAGAAAAAAAGGTGATATTAAAAATAAGAGGTACGCAAGTTTGTACACTTATAGTTAATGAAGCTCAGTGACAATCATTTTTTGAGCTATTTAAATTTAAGTCTGTTCTTGTATCAGCAAAATTAAACATTTATGATATTCCCAAATAGTAAGGAAAAAGTGATAAAACACTGACACAAACATTTTAAGCCTGAAAGAAACATTATTTCCTCAGAAAACAAACTTCTACAGAGATTACAAACAGATTTTCCTTGGTATAACTAGAGAAAATAACCACAATGAAAGAATTTGTATAGTATCAAAAGGCAAAAAACATATAAGTATTTTATTATTTGAAATTCCAAACTTACCTTCTCTAACTTTTTATTTTTGTTTTCTGTTATTAGGCTATTTTCACGTAGCACATTTTCATATCGGCTTTTCACTAATTCAGCTGCTTCTTGCAACTTTTGTACCTGAAAATAAAATATGATATTAGAGCAACATGTATTATTTATTAGAACTATAACATAAAATAAAAATTTAAAATCGGAATTTTTCATTTTAAACAAATCATTATTTTCCTATCAATACCCTCAGTAGGTATCTACTATCTACTGTTACTCCTTCTTTAAATACAGGATCACTAAGGCTCTGCTCTTATCCATAATCCTTTTACAGTTTACCTGTCTTCTCCCATCAGTGCTTCTAGACTCTCTATTTGAGCTCTGAAGACTATAGAAATTGTCATTTTCAGGTCAATGTCATTTTAAAGAATCCCATCTCTGATCCAAACTAGCTCCCATTTCAATTATTTTTCCCACCAAATCAAAATTCAACTAAAATATGGTGACTCATCCATAGTATTCCTGCTATAGGATTAAAAGCCAACCAAGCACCTAGAAAACCCTGAGGACATTTTCAATAACTGTCCCACCATCCACTACAGCCTCCACTCTTACCTCCGACCCAGATGACTGAAATATTCTAACTGGATGCCTCAACTCCTTTTCCCATCTAATCCATCCAGATACAGTCCCCTCCTATTTGCCTACACTTTGCCCCACTTAAATTTTTACCCCTAGTTCATTATTCTTTAACTCAAAGTTTCTCTTACTAACCAGTTTGTTACCCACCATGCAAGTACCTGTGTAAGTCCCATCTTTTTCATGGAGTTTTTTCCTGAATACTACATCTCCAATACATAAAGCTCTCCTATAAATGGTACCAACAAATACATGTTCTACTTCATATATCTTGTTATATGCTCTTTTCTAGGTTTTTCATGTGAATAAATCTGAATTATACTTGTTTTAATGAGAAAGGGGGAGTACTGGGTTTTAATGACCCTAGAAGAAAGTCATTTATCTAAATCAGCACCTTTAAATATACAAGATGACAAACAAGTATGACCAAGATTAACAATAATACAGTACATTAAGGTTCACATTATACCTGAGTAATTAATTTTAAATCTACTTTTAGGAATATCCAATATATCCACAGGCAATGTTCAAATCAGGAATTGGCAGCATCATCTATCTATAAAGATATTTAAGATGTTTGGGACATATGATATAACATCACAAAATAATATCCCTACTTCACTTCAGTTCTGTTTATTTAGATTGCAAACAAATACAGTGTTATAAACTATCTACCAATTTTAATAAACACAAATAAATGCAATGGTCACCTCAGTTTTGTATGCTTCCATGAGGGTTTTCTGTTGTTTTTCTACTTCTTGTAATTCTAAGAGTTCATTTTCAACAGAAACAACCTTGTCCTTCAAAGCAGCAAGTGTAGCCTAATAAGGAAGATGTAAATAGATTTTGTAAGACATAAGAATATATTTATACTTCAGTGCTCTTGAATTATGAAAACATAGCTCTCATTTATCAAGTTAATAAAATAACCATTTTTTATTGTATACAATTATCATCTAAAATTTAGGAATTTTAAAAAAGTTAGTTACTAATACCTATAAACTACCTTAATAAGACTTACACAGGGCACATGATTTTTAATACTTTTAAACTTTACTGACCAAAAAAGACTTGGAAAGGAGACCATGTTCCTGGGTAGGAAGAAACAATATTGCTGACATACAAGTTTTTTCCAAAGTTAATGTAAAACTTTACAGTTTCCACCAAAAGTAAAACAAATGGGGAAAGGGGTAGTGGTGGCACCTGTGGTTCAAAGGAGTAAGGCACCAGCCCCATATGCCTGAGGTGGTGGGTTAAAACCCAGCCTTGGACAAAAACTGCAAAAAGAAACATGGGGGAAGGGGCCATAACAAAACTAGCACAAAGACTATATGGAACAAAAAGTAGGAAAGACTGATATACTTTTGAAAGCAATGCTAAGTAGAGAATCTCAGTACTTATAATATATTAAAGTGTATAAAGAATTAAAATTATTAAGATGCTAATATAAAAATATTGAGAAAAAGAAAAATTGACAAAAAATATTTAGTACATGATAAAGGTTGGATTTTTTAAATCAATGGAAAAAACATGTATCACTAAATAAATGGTAATAATACAAGTTTTTAACTATTAGGAAAAATACAGGTTAACTACCTACCTCAACTCTATACTAAAACATCAAACGAATTAAAGATTAAATATAAAAAAGAAACTTTAAAATTTTCAAAGAAAATCAAGATAAAACCCCATTAAGCATAAAATCAAAACACTATATGGAGAATTTTTAAGAGTCTGAGGTTTCATCCTCCTTGCAAGGTTACCGGTTACCATTTCACAGTTTCTTGGATGCTAGCAAAAAGACACAAGACTCCTGGGTCAGAAACAGAGGACCGTGTTACTGAGGAGCAAGACTATCAGCATTTGTGTCAGTTTTCTGAGCCCCAGTTCCCACAGGGCAACATAACAAGGGCCAGAGAATAACCACACATGCAGTAGGAGGCATTACAGAAGAATAAACCTGACTTCAGGGAACCCAGATCTCTTATAATAAGCAGTAAGCTTGCTTACCCTTCCCTCGAAAGGCAAACTTTCCTATCTTCTTCCAAGGATGTTTTCTATGCAAACATCCTTGAAAACCTTCAAAAGTCAGTCTAGATCTATCTTTTTACATCTGGTCAATGTCTCTGCTTACACAGTGTGCGGACCTCTGAGAGCAACCCCAACAGAAGCCACACACAAAATACATATACTTATATAAAACATATTTTATCTCTTAATATATACATTTTATATGTATAAAATATATTTTATATTTTTATATATAAATACCTTTTATCTTTTTCATAGCCTCTCTAAAAAAGTTTGAGGCAAGCAAAATATGAAAATATATAGCAAACCATGACAAATGTGATATATGTAATGTCATTTGACAACTATGACAAATATAATATCCTTAATATAGGAATTATATTTTAATTAATCCAAAGACAAATATAAAGGATAATGAGTATTTCAAAAAGGCAGAAATGTAAACAATCAATGAATACATGAACAACTATGTTCACTGGTTATAAAAAAAAATGCTCTAAAAAAAAGTTCTGGCACTGGAAATTCCAGTAGTAAATAAAACAGGCAAATATCTCTTCCTCCAAGAAGCTTACACATCCCAGGGGGTACACAGACAAACCAGAATAAGCAGTAAAATACAGCACACACAAAAGCAGGACAGGAATGGTGTAGAGAGATAAGCCAGGAAAGGCCTCTTGAGAAAGGGACTTTTGAGTAAAAACTGAAAGGGACTGTTTAAGGGAAGAGTATTTCTGTAGGAAAAGGCAACACTGGATAGCAAGTTACGGGAAAACAGCAAGTAAGCCAGAGTGGAAGGAATAGACAAACTCAGGAGAGTGTGGAAGGAGATGAGATCAGAGAGGTAATGAAAAGCCAGATGGTGTAACTCTACTAAACAAAGTATCATGGTGGGAAGGGGGTGTGAGCAGTGCAGGCACATGTTCCGACTTACATTTTAATAGGATTTTAATAGGAACTACCCTCCTGCTACACTGAATGCTGCCTGCCTGCAGTGACCTGGACAGAAGCACGGAAAATGGTCAGGAAATCATCATAACATTGAGAGATGGTGGTGGCTTGAACCTGGGTAATGGCAGTGGTGCTGGTGAGAAGTGGTCAAATTCTGAATATATTTGAGATAGATTTACTGACAGACTGGAAGCAGGGTTTCCAGAACCCTGAGAGAAAGGACAACTTAAGGATGAATTTGGGGGCATATCAAAAGCTCATTTTAGACATAACTTTAACACAAATTAAATATACAGGTGGAGACTTCAAGTAGGCAGCAAAACATATGCCTAGAATTTAGGAGCAGGGTCTAGGCTAGAGGCATAAATTTGAGAGGCCCTCAGCACATAGATAGTTTTTAAAGCCGTGAGACTACATGAGATAACCTATCAAATTTGGAGAGTTTTATTTTAAAATTATAACTTTTAACTGCCTAATACTGGAACAAGTTTAGGGACCCTTTCACATACAGCACACACATTTATGATGGGTAATTTGGAAATAAATGACAATATTAAAAATGAATCTCTCTTTTGCCCACAAAATTCCACTTTTAGAATTTCATCCTAAGAGAATAGATCTTCAAAAAAACTCAGAAAGAAACTATTTACATGTTTATGTATAATAGCAAAAAACAAAATGATTATATATGCTAAATACTAAGTTTAGTTATCTTTCACTTGTGAGATTACAGATGATTTAAAAAATCTTTCCTTTTGTGCTTTTCAGTTTTGCCAACTTTCTGTAATAAACAAATAAAACTTTATAACCCTCCAAACAAGCTTTTATTGTTTCTACATAGAAGTTTGCCAGGCCTGGGAAGCAATATCAACAGCTTCTTTTTTATTTGAAACTTTAAAATGTAAAATTATTCTAATGTAATTAAAAATGACAAAATCCAAACATCTAGGTAATGCTACACCATAAATAACATATGCCAACATATCTAAATACTTTCCTTAAATAAAAATCCAGAGAACCCTGCATTAAACATATTACATGTTTTTGAATTGTTAATAGAATGTGCTAAGATAAAAACTTAAGTAATTTTTATAGTCCATGTAATTTAAAATTCCTTTATCATGATTCAAAACTAAATTTATAATTAATAAAATATCTCTCTGAAGGATATCAAGAACATTAAGAAAATAAACATAATAAATCTGCTTCCTTTTCCAGGATAAAACAACTTATTCATTCATTTAGAAGGTATTCCCTGAGAGCTAAGTATACGTCACACCCTTCTCGGGCACCCCATGCACACAAAGATGGGAGTTTAAATGGAGAGATTCAGTGAAAAGGCTTTTTGGAGGAAGTGGCATTACACCTGCATTTTAAATGAAAGGTAAAATTTGGATACTGAGAAAAATAACATTCCTAAGTATAAGAATAGGAAAATTACAGGTATAGATGCTGGAAGCATGAAAAAAATTGCAAGAGATAACACGTATTCCTACTTGGTTAGAACCCATGATAATAAGACAGCTGCATTCCCCAGTCTCCCCAGCAGCCAGGTGAGGTCATGGGCCCAAATAAGCAAGAATCAAGTTGTATGGGACTTTGAGGAAGTCTCTTTAACAGGGAGGACATTTATTTAAAGGGGAGATAATGCATCTTTTATTTCTCCATCGTGTTGCTTGAAACTTGGCTATAATGGCCAGAGCTCCAGCAGTCATTCTGGATCATATCAATGAGGGTCATAACCTAGGATGGAAGAAAGCTAAAAAGAGGCTAAGTACTCTGATGCCATATTAGCTCTGAAAGGCCAACGCCGAGTTTCTCTCACATAATAAACACGGGCCTCTATCTTTTTAAGCCACTCAGTTTTTCTGTTACATATTGTGAAACTAAATCCTAACTAACACAAGAGTTACTAAAATATAAAAGATACTTCCCTAGAGTTCATAGTGCGTTTGTTTTCTGGAATTTTCTAATAAAATTTCTGGCAAATTCTACATAATTTAAAAGATGAGACAAATCAAATTTGTAATTATAAAATGTAAACATGATTGTATCCAGCATTTTCTTCTTTTCGTCCTCCAAATTCTAATCCTGGCTCTTCCATTAAACTAGTTCTGTGATCCTATGAAGTTATTAAACTGCTGTGAGCTTCCGTGTCTTCACCCATCATCGAGAACAGTATCTTTTTTATAGATTGATGTGAGAATTAGAAGTAAAAAAGGTAAAGCAGTATCAAATGGCCTCCTATATTAGGGTGACCAGACATCCCGCTTTTTAACAATTTGTCCCGGGTCCTGCAACGTTTTTAAAAAGTCCCAATTTTTGGAAAGAATGCATGAACGGCGGGAGAACAGGAAGGGAATATACGGTTTTCGGCTGCCATGTGGCTACTTCGCCAGAATATGAGTTTTGTGTTATTTTTGTTAATTTTATAATGTTAAACTGTAATAATACAAATAATTATTGAGAAGTGATTATCGAGAACTGCTTATCAAAGTTTTCGTTGTTGTCAGACCCTGCCCTGCCCCGCCCCCTACCCTGCCCCCCCATGTTGTCCCACTTTACAGATGTTAAAATCTGGTCACCCTATCCTATATCAAAGGATAAACAGTAGCGATTATTGTTGTTCTCCACATTTATTTAATTTATATTCCAGGCACAATACCTGAAACTATAAGTAATGAGTATAAAATATAATCCATGACCCTGTTGTGTGGATGGAGGGAAGGACAGCCATCAGGGGAGACAAATTACACAAACAAGCAGCTATACTAAATTACATGTAGAATTAATAAAGAATAAAACAGTGACAAATGGGGGAAATGTTAGTAATATTCTCTAT